CTCCTCCTCCTCATTTCTCCTCACTCCTCCTCATTTCTCCTCCTCCCCATTTCTCCTCCTCCACACTCCTCCTCCTCATTTCTCCTTACTCCTCCTCCACACTCCTCCTCCTCATTTCTCCTCCTCCTCATTTCTCCTCCTCATTTCTCCTCACTCCTCCTCCACACTCGCCCGCGTGACGTCATTGCATATAATTATGACGTATGTTAATGAGTGACGTCATTACGCATCCTCCCTCCACCACACTCCACCACACTCCACCACAAAAATGGGGGTTGAACGGTACCTATATTACTACTTATAGTGCTGCATGTTACAACTGTAAAACCACCTACATTGTATATACGAGTAGCAACTACTGTGAATGTGCATATATTAGCCCTGAACATATATTCTTTCAGTAGCATTTCTCATGTGGCCTTATACATGCAGTTGGCTAGATTTGTATATTATTATTGTATATTATTATTGTATATTTGTATGTTATTATTAGTAATCTTCATCCTGAAATATGTATATTATAACATTGACAAAACATAACATTCTTTTGTAAGGTTATAATAAAGCATTGGTAAGAATGTTTTTCTTGACTGACTGTACAGGAGGGCAGCTTATATTGGGAATGGTCTGAATGACAGGGAAATTGAGGAGTGTATATAGTGTTACTGTTGCAGCTAATATATGTAAGTGTTGCCAACTGAGAAAAATTATGCCATTATAAAAAAGTTTTATGGCTTTCTGCAAAGTATAATTTAGACACGATTGCTTACTTAGTGCCATTTGAGACATGAAAAAATATTCTACCTACTATGGCACTATACTTCATGTACATAATATTTCGTATACATAATATACAAATACATAAAATCTTACATATTTTTTATATTCATTGTTTTCCCCGAGCCAACGGCGCGGAGCGCCGTTCCGGGCGTAAGCCCGGGGCGACGGTACTAATCCCCCCCCCCCCGCTATTTACACCCGGGGAAAGGAAAGCATTAGCGAACTCTAAAGTTCATCAATGATCGCGGGCGTGGCTCACCAACGGTGTTGAGTGGGTGGTCATCCTCACTGATCTCAAAAATATGGCTGATTGCTTGTAGGAGTGGGATAAGGGACCGGTCACAAAGTATTTACTAGGGGGTGTGGAGGATATTTTTTTTTGGGGGGGTACGAAAAAACCCCAGAACCTCTGAGGGGGTACAAAAAAAAACAGAACCACTAGGGGGTACCAAAATCTTAATACTATAGGTACGGAAAAAATTACATTTTATAATTATCGTTAATATTGAATGTATTTGTGCCCAGATTTAAGTTTGGAAAAATTGTTTTATTATAAGTAATAGCATGGCTTGAGGGAGATTAGTGATTAAATGGCCCCGTAACCCGAGGCAGCTTTGCGGAATCCCTGAGGGCGAAGCCCGAGGGAATTCCGCAAACCTGCCGAGGGTAAGGGGTCATTTAATCACTAATCTCCCGAAAAGCCATGCTATTAGTTTGTAATAGCATAGTTTCGCTCCCATTTAAAAATGGACAAACATGCCCTACTTGGAATCAGCGTTTTTAAGCTAAAACATTTGCTTTATTGCTTGTGGGATGTAAAAGCTTGTTGCACATGCGCACTTTTTACGCTTTAATCGGTTACGCATGCGCAATCTATCATTTAACGTACCACAACAAAAACGCTAAATATATTAGTATAAAATTGGAGACTGCACGTGCGTAATTTAAATGATGCGGCAACTCAGGGATCGGATGATAGACTATTGACACAGAGTAGAGACATACAGAGACGTAACTAGTGTACCCACTTTTTTTGTGCGCATGCTCGGCAAGTTACTAGATGCATGCATCTGATTGGATGACGACCTGATGACGACTCCCTTTAAACTTGCTGAGCACGCGCAGTTGATCATTTTTCGCCCGGTCGCCTGAAAAAAAGTGGGTACATGATAACGTAATCTTCCGCAGTGTTTACAACGGTCAGTTACGTCTCTGTATGTCTTATCTACTCTGTGCTATTGACGGCTCTGAGCTAACTGTTGCTGTTCCTTGCACGATTATGTGCGTGAGGCACTTGCCTAATGCGTAGTCGTCAGGGAGACAAAGGTGTGACCCTTGGTAACGGGCGATTAGTATCGACCCTGTTGAAACAAAAGAAACCCAGGCAACTATGCTATTACTGTAATTATTATTAAATCAACACAAAGTATATATGTTTCAGTCTGACTCAATGTCGGATGATAAGTAGGATTCAGTATCCATGGAACTTTTGGAGTACAAATCTGATACATCTGAATTGTCAATGACAATGCTAGCAAGCTAACACCATTAGAATCTGTTAATGATTGAAGGGGGTGGGGGGTATGACAATTTTCACCTACATTGAAGGAGGGTTACGAAAATTTGTCCATAGCTTTTTGGGAGGGTATGGAAATATGTACTTGAAATTTCATTTATCCTCCACCCCCCTCTAGTAATTACTTTATGACCGGTCCCTAAGCAAGATTTCAATTTTAAAAGACATATATTTGGAAAATCGTTTCATATACAACAAGCTTGAACCAATTTTGATTGAAGAAATGAGAAGAATTGATTTACTATGGGAAATCGTGAAATATACGGCAAGTTTGCTTTGAATATTTATTGTTTTAAAACAAATTTTGTTGCTTTAACTTTTTGCCTAAAAACATGAACTGTTTTCCTTTTCAACGAAGCTCTAAGTTTCACAAATTACCGTTTCATTTGAGATAAAATCCTAAAATGTAAAGGAGAACAAATTGATTTGAAGACTGAACTGAAATTACCTAACAATTTGTTTTATTTGTAACTTATTATGTTGTATTAGTTTATCGGCAAATGAACTATAGTTGAATGAACATTTCAAAACATTTTACGAAGCGTTTCAAGTTAAATTTTACATTAAATCAAAGCTCACAAAATGCAAAATAATATACCTACACTGATATATTTCGGAAATTTATTGTTGTATAATTAAAAGTACGAATCTTTCAACTATTTTGCAGTTTTGTACAAAAAATATGAAAAAATTAAAAATTTAGGAATATCGTGTTGTCATGGCAACACTTGAGCGCGAGCCTGCGTTCAGTGGGCCATTTCTGAATACTTCATGTTATTTTAATGTTTGGAAAATATTGGCGAGGGGTTACTGCATGCATGTATTTCTAGTAAAATAAAAATTAATGGGGGCACTAAATAGAGATTTAAGAGCTAGACAGTCGAGACATAGTCAGAAACAAATTTTGTCCAGAATGCTATCACTACCAGTTGTTTCTCTCGTCCAAATAAAAAATTGTTTGACATTTTTCTAACAAACTGGCACAATATTTGCAAACAATCTGTCGGGGGAACTCGATTTTGACACAAATTCATTTTCGAAATTTTAACATTGTGACCAATCTCACGGAAAGAGGCTTCATTTATTTCGCTCTTCCCATCACTCCCTGCGCGCTCACTTTTCCTCACTAGAAACTGCATGTAAACCTCTGCGGAGGAGAGTGGAAACTCTCGGGAAAACAAAAGTTTCCCCTCTGGTGCAGATATCAAGTGTATGATATGTCTTCACCCATTTTTTTAACCTGTATAGCTAATGATGTGGATAATGTACTCAACTGCCTTGTGCAAATGCAAGACATCAATTCACCACGAACATTGAGAACATTTGCCAAGGTACGTAACATGAATCTAAAGCCCGTAAGTTGTTAAATAAATTATTTTGTCAAATTGAGAATTTTGGCAATGTAGAGTACCTAGTTTGTTCTGTTGATTGTTATTTTGTCCCTTTGTTTGATGCTTGATTTGATGCTTTAACATGGCGGACATACAGGTGTCCCAAAAACCCAAAAACTGTTGAAATAACGTATTGTTAGAATATGAATGCCTCACAATTCTGCTGAACCCACAAGTACATAAAAGCTTGACATAAGTAAATTTTATGCATAAAGAAACTGTTAAGAAGCCGCTTTAAATTCCCAGGAGCAGAAAATCGTGCGCTTTACAAAGATATTTTAATTTCTTAATAAGTCAGTATCGTACGCATCTTTATGTTCAGCCGTAGTGCTAGGGAATTCAAATTCGAACAATACGTCATTTCAATAGTTTTGGGGACACCCTGTATAGTCACAATTATGTCTTGGACTAAGCTAAGATGTAGAATTTGGATTTCGATGATTGCGGTTAGTTTCAAATTTAATAAAAGTCTTTATGGGAGCGTTTCTTTTGTCAATCTAGATTTGGATTTTTAGGATTCGGATTTTTGGATTCGTTAAACAAATGAACGTATTGTGAGAATCACCTTTCGCCTGCTATTTTCCCGCCATTTTTACTGACAAGTTTTCTGTCCCACTATACCTTGCAGTCGGGTCAAGGTACATGCTAGAAGGCCAGAAGCTCAAAAGGACGTTGAATCCTAGTCAAATTTCAGATTGAATAAAAAAAATCCGTATGTTGAGGTGGATTCATCAGATTCGAATCTATTTTAAAATCGATAATCGAATTTGAAGATTCAAATCCGGATTGCACTAAAGGAACGCTCCCCTACATGCAATTTCAGTTCGAGATCGAGCTGGATTATTGCTACCCTGGTTGCCAGAGGTTCTGTATCTTTCGCCTTATTCTCGCTCGTATTTATTTTACGCGAGGCGAAGAGAACCTCTGGTGGCACGCGATACAAATCTCTCTTCCTTTGGTACAAAATTTGTACCAAGCACATGATTGGTTAGTTATAATTAGCAGTCACATGAAGTGATGTGATTGGCTAGACAAAAAACCTGTTCATAAATCTCAGAGAACATGATGTAAACAAAATACAGAAATAATACGTATTAAAACGATTTACTTAGTGACTTTTAATAGTTTGTTCGGCTATAAAAAGATTTTCTGCACTGAACAAGAGCTGCCATCGCGGCATGACTTGAGTCGGACGGCATGACATGTTCACTCTATTACAGTATTAATATTTGTGAAATATAGTGTTAGTCACTTGCTTTATATCGTTCAAGGTTTTAAATTTTGATAATTCTTTGACTTTAATAGTTATTAATATGATTTATTTTGCCAATATTTTTCCGTTGTCTGTTAATTAAGGGCAACCATACTGGCTCCGTTGCACACACATACTAAATATTTATATATTTATATCTGTGCACTTTTGACTTTATAGTTTATAGGCTACGTTCGCTAATACAAACGGCATTCCAGAAATTTAACAATCAGTAAGATTGCTTTTTGCTTTGCGAGAATAATCTATACATGTTTCTAATGAATAATCTACATGTTTGGGCTGCTTATTTTTAATATTTTACACTAGCCAGCGTGGCCGGCTTTTCTATTATAAAAGAGCCGGCCACGCTGCTGAAGAGAGCTATTTTGGTAGTATGACAAACCCGGAAGTTTAAAAACGTCACAAAATATAAAACCGGTTTTGCAAGTTCTCAAACGGCAACGTCAGCATGGAAGAGAGATTTGTATCGCGTGCCACCAGAAGTTCTCTTCGCCTCGCGTAAAATAAATACGAGCGAGAATAAGGCGAAAGATACAGAACCTCCGGCAACCAGGGTAGATTATTGCTACCACATGCTTAAAAATCAATAAAATACGAGTTTAATACTATCCCTGATACAATGTCTCAGTCGATTCTTGACTAGTATTTTCTATAGTGTATCAATCTTGATGCTTTTTATAGACTCTCGTTGGTCACCTGTCTTCTGGCAGCTCATTAAACATGGCTTCTATACAACCTTGTCAAAAGTCCAAGGTAAGTTTTCTACCTAATTATCTGGATGTATGAAAGACTTAACTACTTTGTAACTACCTTTTTTGTATAGTAGTACTCTCAAATACGCGATTCTAACTGGTTAACTTTCGCGCTAACTGGAGTTGCATTTTTATACAACTGGCTCCAGCTTTTTTGTCAGACTATCCGGACTAAAGTATTATCATATTTTTGATGTTATTAAATTAGCGGTATGACTTGATATTAATTGTTTAAAAAATTGTTTAAGTTTAAAAAATTGTTTAAATATTTTAACTTCGTGTTTTATACTTCACACATTTGAGCCGAAAGTGGCGCATTTTCCCGTGCATAATACAAATTAATACAAAATTTGCAAATTTCGTAGGGCTATATTTTCCGCATTTTACAACATTTCGTGTATTTGGAAGATAATCAAGCGAAATATAAATAATGGTAATTGCACTGAGTGGAGTGAAATCTATTCTGAAATCAAACGCGTGATTTCAAAGATTTAATCTATCCGGAGGAATACTTAGCCTTCCAGATTTTGTTCCAATTCCTTCGAATCTCTCAGGAATCTAATTCTGTGTTGACTCTGCAGGCATCGTTTCGACAGTGCTTTCGTGGTCTGGGTTACGGTTGTTCTCTTCTATTGCTTTATGTGTGCTTCGAGGTATTTCATCGTTCTCTTCCTCACGCTTCTCTCTTTCGTTTCTTGGGATGCGTAGAGAAGGTTTCTTCTGCATGTTCTTTGGTAAAACACCAGTTTCTGTTTGCACATCATATGATCGAGGTGTGTTGGCTGTTCCAACTACGACGGCTGGTTTTCCCCATGCGTCGTATTTTCGGTTTTAATTCGAACTTGATTTCCCTTCTTCAAAACTGGCCACGACCTGGATGAATTCCGTCTGTTGTATTAAAACTCGCTGCTCTTCTGGCTAGCTTCGTGTTTCTGTTTCACCTTGTCATCGTTTCGTACATACGAGGTTCGTTATTCTTTGATAACGTTGGTAGAGTGGTTCTGATTCGACGATTCAACATGACTTCTGAAGGGCTATAACCAGTAGATCCTACAGTTGTAGATCTGTACACCATCAGAGCGAGACACGGGTCTTCTTGTCGTAATATGTTCTTAGCTATTTTCACAGCACTCTCGGCCAACCCATTGGATTGTGAGTAATATGGACTCGAGGTAGTGTGCTTGAATCCATTACTCTTCACGAAATTGGAGAAACTCTCGCATGAAAACTGCGGTCCGTTATCGCTGACGACTTCTAGCGTAATTCCCCATCTGGCGAAGATACTTTTAAGCTTGGCTATCACGAGAAATGAGGTTGCTTTGGACAAGTCCAGAACTTCCATGTAACAGGAGTAGTAGTCCATTGCCACGAGAAATGTTTTTCCTTTGGCTTTGTAATCCAGGAGGTCAATACCTATACGGTTCAATGGTCTTTCCGGTAGTGGTGATGAGGTTAGTGGTTCTCGTCTTTGAGCTGCTTTTTCACTTGACACTCTTCACATCGACCGACTATACCCTTGATATATTTTCCGATACCAAAGCATTCTTTGGCTCTTTCGTCGCACTTGGTGATTCCCTGATGACCATGATGAATGGACCATTTGCATTATAGACTAAATTTTGATCTAGACAAATATTTCATCACAGCTTGAAAGAGCATCACAAAATTAGTAATATTCCAAAGTTTCGTTGCGAAATGTTGTAAAATGCGGATAATATAGCCTTGCGAAATTTGCAATTTTCAGTCATTTTGTATTACAAACGGGAAATTGACAGCCCAATCGGGTGTTGGGGCATCAATTTCCCGTTTGTAATACAAAATGACTGAAAATTGCAAATTTCGCAAGGCTATATTATCCGCATTTTACACCATTTCGCACCGAAATTTTGGAATATTACTAATTTTGTGATGCTCTTTCAAGCTGTGATGAAATATTTGTCTAGATCAAAATTTAGTCTATAATGCAAATGGTCCATTACTTCCAAAAGTTTCGACTGCAGGGCATTCGGAATGAAAATTATCTCGTTATACACCAAGAGTCCTTCCGCCACCGAAAGATTCGATCGAACGGAATACAGATCATGGAGATCACGTGGGATGTTGCTACACTTTGTTAGCCAACCATCAACTGTGAATTTCCTGGCTTCTTGTATCACCAAATCTTTGTCAGCCTCTCTGATCTCGTCAAGACAAACATCCGATACTGTCCAAGATATCGTGACCTCGTTAACGTATATGCATTCCAACTTTTTCTACTGTTCGCGTATCTTCTTCGTCACAAGTAGGTAACGGATGCCTCGAGGAGATATCAGCGTGATTTCTAAAATACTCTGTAATTCAAAGAGGTTAAATATGCCTTTCAGACAATCACTTTCAAAAGTTGTTGGGATCGATGTTTGTTTAAATTAAGGGTTTTGGTGGCATCTATCCCAAGACATTTGAAAGTGATTGTAGGTTAAACTCAGTTTAGTTTGAAATTTCTTTTTGTTAATTGTGAGGTGCATTCCGTTGTTTGAGAGAGAACCAATTGTTATTTTCCTGCCCTCTATATTTATGAGATTATTAAATTGATACAGGGAAAGTGAGAAGCAACGTTTGACTTCCAGCCGCTGCTGTGGAATTCAAGAAACCGTTTTGGCACGAGAATATTACCAGCTTCACTAAGAATGGACAATTGAATAGCCTGGGATATATTTATGATACAATATGATGGAGACTATGCTGTTGTAAATATTCATGCAATTCGAGATAAATATAAATATTATAACTATTATATAAAATATAAATATTATGACTTTCAAACAAGACATAGCTATATACAGAGTAAAATTGATACGTTGACAAGAGTTTAGAGTATTGACAAGAGAGATATATATTTACAAGAGTATGCTACATTTAAAAATTACTAAAACGGTTGCATGATTCAAACAATTGGATGGGCGTACGGGAGAAAAAATTAGGAAGGCAGAACCCCCCTCGCAGTTCAACCCCGCTCCATTCTTGTACGCTAACCTATTTGAATAACACATATAGACATGGGTATGTCTAATCACTAACTTCTTACTAACCGAACGCGAGGTCTGTACAGAGAAATATCAGACCGAGGTCTTTTTACTCGCTGGGGCACCTGTGCCCCAGACGAGTATAGGTTTCGGCTTGCATTTTTCACGGATAGTGGATCTCCGATCGTCGATAACCACAAAATAGAATATTAATGAGCTGCCTAATTTTCCCCCTATTATCCATAAGCCTCTTGCCAATTTTACCCAAATTACCATAAATAACTCTGCATTTTGAGGAAAATTCGGGAAAATTGAACAATTTTACAAGGAATTTCGACATGGAAACAGCAACCTTCGCAAATCGCAAATTACGTTTGGCTAATATAGTTTGGCTGCGCTGCTTTATATTTTGAGAAGAAAGCGACACCGTTCGATTCAGCGTAAGAAATTGTACTTACGGATTTCAAATGTATCACTAAGCACCAGTATTCTAGCGATTTATGGCCTTTGAAAATCAGGCGAAATTGTATTGTTGACAAATCGTTCGCAGTACGTTTCATAGTGTATTTGTAATGTCGATAAATGGCGCAATAAGGATAAAAATACCACCGTTCGATTCAGCGTTGTACTAATTACGTTGTACTAATTGTACTAATTACGGATGTCAAATGTACAGTATTGCTAAACAACAGTATTCTAGCGATTTATGGCCTTTGTCTTTGAAAGCCAAGCGAAATTGTATTGTTGACAAATCGCTCAAAATTATTAAACTAATTATAAAAAAATGCAGTACGTTTGATGCTTGATAACTTTGGTACATTGTTTTTTCTTTTTCGGCCGTATACCAGTGGTTTCGTCTCACTTCTCTCTTCATTTATTAAATCCCCAAATATTTTATTTTGAACGTTTTAAAGCGTAGTTTAATCCTAGCGTACGGACCAACTGGCGGCTGACAGTCTTGAAGAAATAGAATGTAGCGTCTAAATATAACTTTACTTGTAGGGCCAACCGCATTTTAGTACTGTGTCGTAACACAGTACTAAAATGCGGTTGGCCCTACAAGTAAAGTTAGGTATTCGACTTTTCGGTATTCGACTTTTCCGCTTAGCTCGGGAAAAACTTTAAATCTTAATTGAAATAGCTGTGTACTGTATGTATCATGTACAGTAACGTGCGTACTTGTATAGCCTTATAGACTTGGTTCAAGTCCGTCTCTCAAGGGGTTGAAAATAGCGATGCACGCGAGCGGTCAAAAAAGGTGCGAAAAGACGGACTTCAACCAAGTCTAGTATAACCCCAGCGAGTTAACGCTCCGAAGAGCGTCTTGTTTGTATAGGATTAGCCCGTAGGGCGTGGTTCAATGTACAAAAAGACCGAGATCCGATATTTGTCTGTACATACCGAGCAAGCGAGGTTAATAAAAAGATTATTATATGGCATTGGCATTTATAGGCATTTATACTTGAAACAAACAAGAAATGCGTGATTTGAAATACATATCAGTAGCCTGGTACACATTTGGTCGAAGAAAACAAAAAATACCGATGTATTCCTTCTTTTCCACTAAAAAGCATTCGCAGACATCTTAATAACAGATTAAATTATAATTTTCAATTTCCTGGGGTTTTTTAAATACATGTATTTGTTTTTACGTAATGGCCGTTGAAAGTTCTTCTCAGTCAATCACAGTACGCCATTTCACCGTAATTTATGTTTGCCATATAATAATAACACGTAATACTACCAATAGTTAATAAACTTTTTACTAACAACTGGTAGATTTTTTCTCTCTATTTACTCGCTTATTCGAATTTTCGTTTTAGTAATTTGTAAATATATCTGTACCTGTAGTCTAGGACCTGTATATGAGTTTGTATGCATTTCATTTAGGACAGATAATCTCAACTGTTTTAGGGCAAGTTGACCATGACGGTCAACATGGTAACGCTGCCCGAACCCCGATCCGGGACGAAACGTCCGAAACTGACCACACCCAAAAACGACGCTTTCGCCATACTGCTATCTACCAAACCATAAAAGCTTTGGCTATTCTGAGGTGCTTATATGGTTCAGAGATGGTACT